AACAACAACAACAACATATTTATCTACTAGTGCCTCTTTGAGAAAAAGATGACAGTCTCTTTCTATGAGATTTACAGCCTCAGAAACCCAGTGGAGGTTCAGCTATGAAACAGAACTGACACAATGGCATTGAAAGTGAGAGCGATGTTGGCTGCTAACTGAATGGCCAGTGGTTTGAACCCATCAGTTGTCCCAGGAGAGAAAGATGTGGCAATCTCTATTGAGCCTGGGATCTACCCTATCCTATTGAGTCTATGGTTTGGAATCAACTTGATGATGATAAGAGCTTGGCTTGGTGAGTACTGTAATTTTTTTTTTTTGGCTGCTTTTAAGATTTTTCTCTTTGCCACTGTTGCTGAGCAGTTTGCTTATCCTGTACCATCCTTGGTATATAGTTATCTTTTTTTTTCATGTGCTTGGTGTTTATTACACATCTTAAATCTGTATATTTTCATTAAATTCAAGTATTCTATTTTTATGTTTTATTTTTAAGTTCACATATCTTCTGCATTATTTAATCATTATAACTTATATACAGTCTATTTTTCATTCTTACACATTGTAGTTTTTATTTCAATAAGCTCAAATTGCATCTTTTAAAAATTTAGGCCATTTTTTTATATTTTCCATATCTGTCTTGAATATGATTATCTTAACACACTTATGTTGTCTTTTTGAGCATTTATTATTTGTTGCAAATACCTATTTTGATATTCTTTCTCTAAATTATATAACCTGTGTAATTTCTGGTTGCTTTTTTTATTCATAGACATTATGCCCCTCCCCCTATTGTGTGGGAGAACCAGTCAGTGAGATGGATTGACACAATATTGAACTCAAATATATTGATGATCTTGAACAGATGAAACAGGACAGGGCAACATTTTGTTCTGAGGTACTTATGGTCACCATGACTTGGAATTGACTTCACAGCAGCTAATCTATCTCGATCTTTATGAGCTCTGATGGTTGTTCCACACCTTCCTTTTAGGGTTCCCCCCCACCCCTCCTTATTCAGGTAATTTTTTCAAATGCATGTTTTGATCATTACCAAGCTGAAGACCCACGGCTAGATCTCTGAAGTGCCTCTCTCTTCTTTTTCACTCTTACTCTCACTCTCTCTGTGTACACCTCTCTCCTTTCTGGTTGGTATTCTTCTGTCTACTGTGATTTTAGCTGCATTAGTCTTTCCAAATTCTTTGTTTTGTGTCCTTAACTTAGGGAAATTTGCTACCCTCTGTTGGAGGGCCCAGAGGCCTGGATGTTTTCTCCCCTGAGTAAGCTGGTTAGATGTGGAACTCATCTTGTTCCTTTTTCTTCTCTCAGAGATCTATCTCCTATGCCACCTGTGTGTCCAAGTGTCTTAAAACCATTCTTTTCATATATTTTGCCCATTTGTTTTTTTTCTCCATTTATTTCAGATTGGAAAGTAAATCTCCCT